CTCTCTCTCCATCGATCAACAACAAAAACGGTATCTCATCTCTAAACTTTCCATGACCATCGGCTATTCATACTCGAGCTTACAGTAGGATACGAAACTAACTTGGATGTTAATGATAACCGCAAAAGAGAGAAATACTCGAATCTCATTCACAGCCTAAGCTCAGTCTATTCTTCTATCATGTTTGTTAATCTTTCTATCAGTTCCCTAGGTATCTTTGGTCTCTCTTGCTCCTCTTTCATTGACATGTGCATTGCTCTAGATATCAGCGAGAATCATCTCCGCTTCATGATCTCCAAACCATCCAACTTAACTATCCGTACTACCTATTACATTTTCTGCCGCAGAAATGAATCTTGGAATAATCCTGAACCTCTTCAATTCTAACGATTTCTGCTACTGACGACTTCTAAAACAAACAATGACGAACACACTTTTTCCTTTTTTTGTTATTTTCTTTTGTTTATGCTTGTAATAGTCTTTTTCTTTGTAAACCCAGGCTAGCCAATTGCAAATTACCTTTGTAATAGTGAAATTTGTAATTGTAGTTTTAATTGAATTGAAAATGAAAAGTTTCCATTACTATTATTATTATTATTATTATTATTATTATGCTGATGTACACAGTTCTGATGTTATAACTGGCTTGTTCTTGATGTTTCTTGAAATCGGATCAATACCCATGATCTTAGATCTCGAGAACTTTTCTCAACACTCTTGCAGTTCCTAAAAGTACAGATTTTTGTATTAGTTTTATCTGCGTCTTGACTCCAATTTCCTTGGTATGTAGTTGCTCAGATTTCGTGTTACTGTTCCAAGGGCTCCCAAGACAATAGGAATAACTTTTGCTTTCACTTTCCATAATCTTTCCACTTCTCTCTTTAATTCGTCATACTTTTCGATTTTCTCTATCTCTTTTTCAGCTATTCTCACATCTCCCGGGACTGCAACATCAATGATGTAACACTTCCTTTCTTTCTTATTGACAACCACTATGTCAGGTCTCCTTGCCTGGATTTCATTGTCTGTTTGAATATTGACATCCCAGAGAATCTTTACATTTGTTGTTTCTACCACTCCATCTGGTTGATGTTCGTACCATTTATTTCCACAATCTATGTCATACAGGCGACAGACATCCCAATGGAGGGCTTTCGCTACACAGTCATGTCTACGTTTATACTCTCTCTGTGCCAGTTTTGGGCATTCACTGACAATGTGGCTTATTGTTTCCTCTTTCTGATTACACATTCTACATTTCGAGTCCCTCTGCGTCTTATCGATGTTTGCTTTAATTGCATTTGTTCGCAATGACTGGGTCTGCGCCGCCATTATCAGTCCTTCAGTCTCCTTTTTCAATTCCCCGTCCCGGAGCCATCATGACTCTGGGTCATTTATTTCTTTTGTCTGCCTGAAAAACTGTCCATGTAACGCCTTTTCTTCTAGCTCTGATCGCCTCTCTTCTCTATTATTATTATTATTATTATTATTATTATTGTTGTTTCAAGCTTTGTTAGACAATGGCTCGAGCTGCCAATAAGTGCTTCACTAAGTAGCCTCGTCATTCCAAAATCGAAGTTTGGCATCAATCTCATTCTTCCATCTACCAAGTTCTTACAATGCCAAACAGTTATCCGCAACTCTTTAAGACTGTCCCCAAACCAAGAGATTCGCTCTTTATGGAAAGACTCTAGCACTGGTACAAACATACAATATGACGTTTATCGCAACACCAAACAAGTTCTCAAATCCATCCAAAGTGAACACGAAAACTGCATTGAAAACGTTCTTACATCTCAAGGATTTATTATCTCGTGCATCATAAAATTTGCTTCTAAGGGAACTAATCAACTTTGGTCTAGTGTCCAGCAAAAGTTACCAAAAAACATTTACAACTTTACCATCAAATACCTAAACAACACTCTTGCCACTAGGAAAAACCTCTGCAAATGGTCAATTACTCAGTCATCTGCCTGCTCTTTCTGTCTCCAATCAGAATCATTACAGCACATAGTCTCTAGCTGCAAGAATTATCTTGAACATGGTAGGTATACCTGGAGACATGATTCTGTACTTCTATATTTGGCTAAAAACCTTTCAACACCTAGAAACAGCTCACTTTACGCCGACCTGCCTTCATTTCTATCACCTTCTTTAATCACAGGCGACTCCTATCGACCAGATCTTGTCTTCGTAACTGAAGATCGAATCCTTTACATGCTAGAGCTTACTGTTGGGTTCGAAAGCAACATCGACGAAAACAGTACACGAAAAGCTAGGAAATACAGCGACCTTATCAAGGAACTGAGCCCTGCCTATAAACGTGTTACCTTTGTTAACCTTTCTATGAGTGCCCTTGGCATTCTGGGAACCTCATCTACCTCTCTCTCTGACATGCTACACCAACTTAATTTTGACTCAAATCAAACTAAATCCATCTTGATGAAACTCATGAACATTTCTATCCGCTGCACCTACTATATCTTCTGTCGTCGAAACAAACCATGGCTAAGCCCCGAACTAATTGACTTTTAAATATTGTAATGCAGATAAGCCAATTATATGATGCCTGTAAAAGCGAGTCGTATAATTGTAAATTTAAAATGTATTCAATGAAAATGAGATGTTTAAAAAAAAAATTATTATTATTATTATTATTATTATTATTATTATTATAAGCCAATTATATGATGCCTGTAAAAGCGAGTCGTATAATTGTAAATTTAAAATGTATTCAATGAAAATGAGATGTTTAAAAAAAAATTATTATTATTGATTATTATTGTTGTTATTATTATTATTATTATTATTATTTTTCCCGTTCGCCGCGGCGTATTGCAAGGTGACTGCCTCAGCCCCCTTCTTTTCAACCTTTGCTTCAACACGTTCATACAATACATCAAATCAGATAAATATAAGCAGCTTGGTTTCTCCCCCCATGATGGTAATGACCGCATGTTTCAGCCAGTACACTGGTTTCAGTTTGCTGATGATGCTGCTGTTGTTACCAGTGGAGAAAAGGAGAACCAACTCTTATTAAACTGCTTTACCAGATGGTGCCAATGGGCAAACTTCATTGTCAGGGTTGACAAATGTGTTACCTTTGGTGTCAAGAAACACTCTACGCGATCCCTCCAATTTCAACCGAAACTTTTCATCTGTAACCAAATAGTGCCTGCTGTCAAAAATGGCGATTCCTTTAAGTATCTTGGTCGTTTCTTTGATTTTGAAATGAGTAACCAAGATCATAAATCTAAACTCGTTTCTCTTTTCTCTACTCTTATGAAGGATATTGACGACTTACCTCTCCATCCTAAAAACAAACTGCTATTATACCATCGTTATATTCTGTCAAAAGTTTCATGGCATTTTACTGTTGCAGATCTACCAAAGACCTGGGTTGTCCAAAACCTAGACAATCTTGTTTCCAATTACATTCGCCAGTGGCTTGATCTTCCTGTTTCTGCAACATTGAGTGGAATAATCCTCTCAAAAAATCAGTTTGGCCTAAATCTACAACTGCCTTCTATCAAATTTACGCAATGCCAAACTGTCTGTCGCAATGCCTTAAAATCTTCTCCTAATATTGACATTCAAACCCTATGGAAAAACACCAGTCATGGCACGAACCTACAGTACGACATCTATCGTAATACTGAAGAGGTATTAAAGTCTGTCAAATCAGACAACAAAGAACGTCTCTCCCAAAACTTAACATCTCAGGGAGCCACAATTACCTTCCTACTGAAACATTCACTGGAAAAGCTGAACGGTATTTGGTCAAGTACACAGAGCAATTTGCCTAGTAACATCTTTAACTTTACCATCAAGTATCTTAACAACACTCTTCCAACTCGAAAAAATCTGCTGAAATGGAACCTTAGTCAAACATCTGACTGTGAATTCTGTCTTCTTCCAGAAACACTTCCACACGTTGTTGCTGGATGCAAAGTGTACCTTGACCAAGGACGCTTTACTTGGCGTCATAACTCTGCATTAAACTTTCTAGCCACTTCCTTCCAAGCAATAAATGGGTCTTCTCTCTACGCAGATTTACCAGGCTTTCTTTCCCCTTCTATCATAACTGGAGATCAACTACGCCCTGACTTACTTCTCAAAATTAAGGAAAACTGTCTGTACGTTTTAGAGCTAACCATAGGCTTTGAAACAAATCTCAACTGCAATGCTGTCAGAAAGTCAGGGAAATATGCCACCCTCGTATCTGACTTAAAACGTCAGTTTAAGTCAGTCTCGTTTGTCAATCTTTCCATCAGTTCACTTGGTATTTTTGGCGACTCCTGCAGCTCATTCATCGACATGTGTGACTCTTTGTCCATTGATCATCAACAGAAACGCTACCTCATCTCCAAACTTACAAGCATAGCTTCCAAACTTAGAAACAAAACTTGGACTAATCCAGAGCTACACCCCTTTTAACACTTTTTTTTTCTCATTACTACGATGTAATAGTTTTTATTTTGTAAACACAGGCTAGCCAGTCACAAATTACCTTGTAATAGTGAGATTTGTAATTGTAGTTTTAACAGGAATTCAAAATGAAAAGTTTCCATTATTGTTTTTAGAGCGATCGCTCGCGCAAGAGATATCACGTGATCTCCTACATCATCTTTCCAGCACAGTTTTTTATTGCGATGTATTACGTCAGGAGGCAAACTCCAATCATTTACTGTACATAAAAAATTTTCATTCGAGCCATTAATTGTACCGTTCACTGTCAAAATAAACTAAAATTAATTCTCAAAGCATTTTGTTCCGTCTTGCAACACCTGAAATTTTAATAATTTGCCAAGATAGGCATGCCAAAAGTATGCCAACTGGATATAATGAGGTATTGTGTATATTTGCATTATTTAAAGGAATATAGGGATAGAAGTCTATTCATGCTAATGTTTATTTTATGATATTTTTAGGATCTCTTCCAACGCCTTAAAAGTTTTGTTGTGAATTTGTAGTTATGATTGTTTTCTTTTTTATTGTAGGGTCTTTTAAGGCCGGTAAACACGGAACAATTCTGAAAAAAGCATCAAGCAATGAAATTGAATGTTTGTGCAAACTAATGAAAGATGTTCTAAGACCATACATTCCTGAATATAAAGGACAGGTCCATGAAAATGATGAATGTATCCTTTCAGTAATTTTCAACTGTCTGTGATGAATAATTGGGATTAATGCTGCAGTCTACATACAAACCACATACAACTACTACCCAAAACTACCCTCAACCACCTTCAATCACCTAAAGCCATTTGCGACCAGACAGCTACTGTATATCAAACTAAATAATTTGGATCGTTGCGAGGCATGCCTTGTTGGGAAATGTGGATACAATTTTACCTGATTAAATAAAATTAATGTGAAATTCTCTAGGTACTGACACAAACCTCTACAATACATTTTGTCAATCCTTCGCTATGACATTTAATTCATAATGTCTGTTTGCATGATAATAACAGACCTTCCAACAGATCTCTATATTGGGACAAGCACAGGATACAGTAATTACCCGAGGTGGCACCATGGTTGCTGTAGAAGGAAAGGAGACTTACCAAATTTTGATGCTTCCAGTTTGCTGGAAAATGCACTCAATTTTTACTAAAGCTACTTTACTCATAAATTAATATCCATAGGCTGAAAGATATCAGATGGTTTTGATTGATTTTCTGGTGTTGTTGCAATATATTTAAGCTTGTGCAACAAAATTGGATAGAATTTCTTAAGACTTGGACAAAATTGCCCAGTTAGCTTGTACCACTGATATCTAGAAGGCTTGAGGATATTTTATAATCGTGGCTTCTGAAAAGTTATTAGATCTTTTCAAGGCATGCTATTGAAAGCAAGGCAACCACTTTTGGAACCTTGGTAAGATCAGTGCTATGAATGAGTTCCGTTTTACTCTCAAACAACACGTAAATAACCTAATTCGCCTGACATAGTAATGCTAAGGTGGCTTTTATACCCATAGTAATACTGACATTTTGTTATTCTTCGAAACGGGTTCTGCTGCAAATGGTTTTAGTGTTTTTCAACTTGTAAGCGTTTTAAGGATACTTAGCCAAAATTACACAAAGAATAGACCACAGATATCTGGATAACTTCCTGGTGCCATAGCTCATTTTTGAAGTGTATCAATTTCGTTTAGAACCTAAAATGTATAATATAACCCCCTCTTTCTTGTATATTGCTTACCATTCTTAGAAAAAATGGATTTGAACTCTTGACTTTGAATCAGCTTTTACAGAAATGGAAGATTTATTGGCAGATTTTGATTCACCTTCAGTCATGGACTGCAAGATTGGAATAAGGTTGGTGAATAGCATAAAACTGAATGCATTTTTTGTACCACTGTCAAACAGTCTTTGGTTTGACTGCCTATGACTGTAACCGCTCAGTGGTTTGTGGCCTGTGAAGTTGAAACTATGAGCCAAATTTTAAGGGCTAAAATCTCACAAATTGTTTTTGTTTTTTCATTTGTTTTTTCAATTTCTGCTAAATGTCACAGCTATTTAACATAAATGTTTCAATTACAAAACACACAAGTCAAGTAAAACTGACAATTCTAAGCACAATACAACAAACTACCGATTAAACGCCCTGGGTGCTTATTAAATTCTCCAGCTGTTAGGATGGGCGCTTATTTAATTGATATTGCTGTTGATAAAGGAACTGCTGTTCGATCGCTGGAATAGCTTAAAAACTTTAACAATACTGTCAATTTAAATAAAATTGTCACTTTCACCACTTTTAAGCTTCTCTGGACAGCTCCTCTGGACAGTCGTAAGGGTGACCGCTTATTTGGACTAGGCTTTAAAGAAGCTTCTCCCTATTATTTTACTGAATTTCAAGCAAACTTGCTAGGTGCTGCAAGAAAAATTATTTTCCAAACCAGAACAAAATCAATGCACATTTGAATAGGAAAGGCAATCATTTAATTTCAAAACCAGGGTCCTGCAAACTAGGAATATACGCTTTCAGACATGAATTCATATCTTTGTAATGGCAACCTGCTTGATACTGATGTGGGATGATGGAATGCTAATAAAAATGCGATTTATGAAAAACCCAATAAATTTTTCAAATCTTTTGTAAAAATTAGAATAAAACCTCAAATGTTTACCTCTTTGTGTGTTATTTGTAAGCCCATCATTTGATTTTTAAATTGAATGATTTTGATTGTAATGAGGCTGAACCAGTTTCTCTTTGTTTTGGAATTACAGGACCTATTTGGAAAAAGAATTGTCTGCAGCCGGAAAACAACCCAAGATAAGAAAGGTTTGTCAACTCATTTTGCCAGATTTCATTGCAGTTGAGACCGATCTAATTACGGAATTCACAATTTTTTAAACTAGTGTGATCAATGAGTATATATATCATGAATGCAATTTGGTCTAACTTGACACAGTCTGGAAAACGTGTTCTCATATAAGTCAGAAATTGACTGTGAAGACCAGGAATCAACAAGGAGAGGAGTTAGGTTAAACGGGATCTGCTCCCTGAAAGCCTGGCTTGTTTGGAGCCTTGCTGTTTCAGTTACTTCATTGAATTTTATCATTGAACAATGTGGCTTCTTCAGTAGGGTCTGCGAGCCCGCGAACAAAAGCTTTTTTCCTGAAGTCAGCATTTTGAATCCCGAAAATAAGTCATCGAGACGCAAGTGAATTTTACAGATGATTCGTGGCTGGTTGAGACTGGAGAAGAAAAAATGTGTGGCTCATATGGGTTTGTTTGGAATATTGATTTGTTCTACAGTGACAGCCTAGAGCTCAAGATTGCGACCCTTTCATGGTTCTATGATCAACTTTTTCGTCCTGACTGTTTGGTTAAATGCTACGAACAAAATGTCAAAAAAAGAAGGTAGAGGAAACTAAAGCAGAGATTTTTCAAAGATTCAAGAAATTGCCATTTACTTTTCTAGGATCTGTACGAAAAAATGATTGCTATAGATCCAACGGAGCCTACAGATGAAGAGAGAAAACAAGGAGGAATAACTAAACCAAGGTACATGCAATGGCGTGAAATGCTCAGCTCTACAGCCACTCTTGGCTTTCGAATAGAAGGCATTAAGGTAATTACCATGATAATTAAATTGCATTGCATTTCAGCTTTCTGTAATTGTATTGCTTCCTCTTGTGCTGTTATGGTTGGTCAAATAATGTATTCTGACATGTTCTTTGTAAATTCACCTGGTCTGAACAGGTCTTTGTTTCAGAATCAGCCCGTTCTTGAAAAGTCTTTGATAGGTGATTAATACAATGGGATCATGCAGAAGTTGAATGGTCATGTGGTTCGTCATTTGTTCCATTGAGTTATTGTTTCAAAGTGAAATTTTTCTTTATTGAAGGCACATAAACAGCTCTATTAGCCATACTATTTTGATAACAGTTTATCGATATATATTTTCAAGATATCAAGTCATGTTAAAAGGGGAGGTTTACCCAAAAAGACTGAGTTTTGATTTAGTGCTGCAGTACTGTAAATTTGTTAAGTGATGAAAAAAAAATTTAAAAAACGTTCAAAAGTTGAGCGTGATGTCGACAAAATATTCACAAACCTTACAGCTGAGTTGAAGGAAAACACTTTTTGACCGACAGAGGTGCCGAAGATTATGTCATTTCTTTTCATTAAATGATTACCTTTTAAATGAGATACCTGAACAGCGCTCAGTTGATTATAATTTAAGAAACCCGCGTTGTTATGAGCAAAATGTAGGTAGAACTGTGCGTTTTTCCAGCTCTTATTTTTTTATAACACAATATATGAGCGGAACCTGTTGGACAAATCTTTACATGATTCTCCTTCTCTGGCGGTTTTCAAGAGCAAATTGTTTCGAATCATCAGACCCGTGAAAAACCCTGTTTACAACATCTATGATATTTTGGGTGTTAAGCTAATAACAAGTCTTCGAGTTAGTTTCAGTACTCTGAATGAGCACAGATTTCGGCATAATTTTGACTGCTTGGGTCCAGTTTGTATTTGTGGTACAGGAAAAGAAGATAATGAGCATTACCTCCTGCACTGCCCCCAGTTTACAGCTCAGCGCCAAGATCTCCTTGGTCAAGTCTCGGATGCCGGATATGATGTTGCTAGCATAAACTCAAAGGATCTTTGTCATTTGTTGTTATATGGGAATCCAAATGGAAGCACCTTTGCAAACAGAATCATCCTAGAAGCAACTATTTCTTTCATTAAAACTACTGGACGTCTCAGTTACACTTTCTGGAAAAACAGCAGCCTAACCCCTCTTTTTCCTCTTTTTGTTGTTGGTTTTTGTTTTTTTTCCTTGTCTTGATTTAGCAAGTATATGTTAATTTAATTTATCAAAGTTAATTTATCATAGATATTTCTTAGAACATTATAAGTGGCATTTGTAGTGAGGACTCGGTGACCCTACGACTTTCCTCGCTACAAATGCCATAGTATCATGCGTTAACCTTGTTGTTTTCAAACTTTTGATTGATATGAAAAAATAAATCTCAACCCCCCATCTTTAAAATCCGTTTTGCTATAAACAGTTAACATATAAAATCTGTTGAGAAAAAAAAACGATTACTCACTTACATAAATCCTCTGTCACTTGTAGCATAAATAGTTTTAAAGATTGAAATAGCATATAACGAAATGGATCGAATGAAGATCAATTAGTTGTTCAGGTTTCGGATATCATTGCAAAAGGCAAACCAAAAACATCAAAGTCTCCTCTAGCGTATTTTGCCAATAGAAATCCAAATGCAATATCTCTTTCTTCTGCCACACATAACGAGGTTGAGAATATATTTCTAAACCCTGATCCATAAAAATCTATTTGATCTTGTAGTTTCTCCATAAAAATTATTGAAATTTTCAGGACCTTGCATATATCAAGCCCTAGTTCAACTTGTCAATCAATCTTTTCTCAAAGGCATTTTTCCTCTCAACCCTAGCCAACCAAATATTCCTATGACAAAATAATACTTTCCTTACAATCACTATTCTAGAAAAGTCGTAAGTTTATTTACACACCTATTAGCATGACTGCGGTAATAAACGACTTACCAAATGCAGAAAGAAGTTGAAATTCTTTTTGCGGATGATACCAATATTGCTATTACACGCAGACTTCTGAGCAATTTGTTAGAAAGATAAACATCGAGCCTAAATTTGTAAAAAGATAGCTTCGTGCTCTACTACTAAAAGGAAACCGACCTGCAGTTACCTGCCCCGCCCTTACCAACCCAAATAGTCGTGATTTTCAAGCATGCTGCGCATAAAATATATACGTGAGTCACAGCAATGACGTGACATATTTTTTGCCAGATGCAAGAACGTTCTTTGACTAAAACTAATTAAAATCTTTCTGCTGTGTTTACAAGAAAGTGCATACCATAGCGTGCATACCGTAAACTAGTTTTCTTGTATGTTTCCTGCTCAGCCCGAATGATTTGCTTGAGGCCATTAACATAATATGTATCTCCGCCGTAGCAAAAGGAAAATTATTTGGAAGGTCCAAAGGTAGGTCTAGGAGCAAATTGACAAGAAACGCTTTTTACGGATACACTTAGAATGGTACATTCCACAATGATATAACAATGTTTTACGTCTTTTTCACAATTTACCTTCCTACATCGTTTCAAATGGCCCGTAGCAATACAAATTTTAAAAAAATTGTCAGGAGAATGTTTTAGGCCTACCAATTTAGTTCCCAGTCTAGAAGCCCTGCATCACTTTTTGTAGCCCTGCATGGAATCTCTTCTTTTGAGATGTTTGTTGTACGAATATCCATCAGATTTTTTTTGAAGGTTTTACTATTACCTTTTCCATTTTAGAAAAGTGAGCAAAAACCGTGTAAAGATTTCAAACAGACAAAGACGAAAGAAGATGTTGGCAAAGTCTTTGCCAATTTTATCACAAAAAGAAAAGATTTGAAGGTAGAATTAGTGTCTTATTCTGTTTAAGCAGAGTCCTCCAGTGCCCTTGCTGGTTACCTATAAACTTTCTTACTTATTTAATTGCCTTTTTAGGAAGGATACCTGCAACGACTTAAAGCGATCAGAGCCACCCTTGAAAGCTCGCCGTTTTTTTCATTGCACGAGGCAAGTAATTTTAGCTTCAACATAAACAGTCATGCAACTCGCCTGTAATATCAAATAAATACAATAGCAAATTTTCTGACTCCATCCAGGACTTTTTCTCTGGAAACTTTGTATGGAGCTTGAAAGTAAAATGCTGCATTCAAAATAGCTCTAACATAGCATTGCTGTGGATGAGGGCTGATTTTGATCAAAACATCGATTTGGAATTCGTTTCCTAGAGAAATATTTCTTTACGCATGCTACTGGCATGAGAAGACCAACACTGAGCAGCATATTCAGGTTTCTTGATAATATTTTACTGTTTCGACTGCCGAAAAAAATTCAGGTTTCTTGATAATATTTTACTGTTTCGAACTGCCGAACTTCCTCGAAAACATGCTGGCGTAGCTGAGCGAGCAGTAGTTTTATATTTACGGCCAGCTTAGGAGTGACCTGTCAAAAAACCATACAAAAATCATCGTAAAATATGCAAAAAAGTACGTTGCACATGGCATTTTTTATGCCTTTCCTTTGTTTTTTCTTGCCATAAAGGGCTTGATACATTTTCATGTTTTGACTTCTTCTTTTTCACATCTGTGTCCAAGATGTTTTATACGAAAATGAAAGAACTGACACAAGTTGAACTCCAGCAGTCAACTAGTTGCTTGTCGAGATTTCTCTCTAGTCTAACACGCATTTCTCTTTTTTAAAACAGTTTATTTATCTGTCAGTGTTTTTTACAAGGGATGCATTGGCCACTTGTAACAAAGTTTTTTCATGCATCTTAATACAGCTGATGAATTTCAAACCAAATCCTTTGATAATCTTTAAGTTTATAATTTTTGCATTTCAGGTAATTGGTAGTTCGCTGCTTTTTGTCCACGATTCAGGAGGTAAAACAGGCATCTGGTTAATTGATTTTGGAAAAACGACACCTGTTCCTCAAAATTTGCCTTTGAACCATCGAGATGAATGGAAAGAAGGCAATAGAGAAGATGGCTATCTAACCGGACTTGACAATATGATAGATATATGGGAGAAATTGGTTACACAACAAGAATGAGTTACAAACATTCTTGTATAGTTTTCTCGGGCACTCTTGTTTAGGTCGCTTAGGTTCTCAAAGTATATTATATAAACTCTTATGGAAATGGGGATTTTATGGACACATGAAAATTATACGAAAAATAACAAATTGAGAAGCAAAGAATGACTGGTGCAGCTGTTTCCCCAGGTTTCACAACTATCTCCACCTCTAAAAGGAGACCAGTAAATACAACGATAACCTTGTTTATGACAGCCAGAGTGGCTGTCGCCATTAAGTCTGGTTTCCACGTCAATGGCTGCAATCGTCAATCTTTGTCCGAATCTGATGTTTGTTGAAGCTTCTACCTTGTTCATGTTTTAATTCACACGTGGGTAGTCAAAGGTACACATCGCTGCAAGCAAATGTCTGAACGATGCCACGACACCATTAATTGTGTATCTTCCACTGCATCAGAACCTAGGGCCTTAGTGATGTCAAGTTGTATTTGCATCAGGCATTGCTATAACATAAAAGACCGATTCATTTTACCTAAGGTATAGTAAGTGTATTCATACTCCTTATTTGTCCTCTCTATCTTTAGTTAAAACATGTTTGTATATTGTAACTTCACCTATTTATTTATTATTTGCACAGTAGTTCACTATTTCGATGACATTTAATCTAGTTTTTTCTGGTGGGTGCAAAAAAGCGAGTGTAGGCAACTTGACAAGTCACGCAATTCTGTTTGAATGTAATTGAAACATGATCAAACTTAAATAAAATTACGGCTCCAAATTCAAAAAAGTAAATTTGCAGCAAGAAAAGGCACGAAATTATTTGTATGATGTTTAAAGCATTAGTCAACTTTCAGCGCTTCATTCAAAGGATCAAGTCCATTAAAAAAGTCAGGATTTATTTTGGCCCCAGCATGTCTTCTGGCTTAACCCATTGTTTGAACTGTTCTTCGGTTAAGTACTCCAGTTTGAGTGCAGCTTCTAACAGTGTCGATTTTTCCTTGTGCGCGGTCTTTGCTATTTTTGCAGCCTTGTCATATCCAATGTGAGGATTGAGGGCGGTAACCAACATAAGCGACTCATTCAGTAATTTTCCTATTCGTTCTTCGTTTGCAACAATACCTGATACGCAATAGTCTGCAAATGCATTGCAGGCATCGCCGAGTAAACGGGCAGACTGCAACACGCTCTTGATGATCAACGGTTTAAAACAATTCAATTCGAAATGACCGTTACTTCCTCCAACCGTCACGGCAACGTTGTTTCCCATTACCTGAGCCGCAACCATGGTGATAGCTTCACATTGGGTCGGGTTAACTTTTCCTAGAAATCAAATGATAAAGTCAAAGCAAATGAGCAAAGCTATTAACTACGCAGGGAAACTAGACGACTGAGATTGGTATCTGGTGGTTAACAGCACTCTAATTGATGGAAATACTTTAGATCAATGTCTGCCTAAACACCATGCAAGAAGGCATTACGTCAACCATAGATATATGATTACCAGGCATGATGCTGCTTCCGGGCTCATTTTCAGGGAGCAATAACTCGCCAAGGCCACACCTAGGCCCAGATCCAAGAAACCTGAGGTCATTGGCAATCTTCATAATGCTGCATGCGACGACGTTCATTGCACCACTGAGTTCCACCAGGGCATCGTGGGCTGCTAAAGACTCGAACTTATTTGGTGCACTGTAAAGAATATTGAAGAACTTTGGCCCATAAAAAATCACAAGATTAAGGCAATAAAAGAGTTCAGCTTTATGCCATCCCTAAAGTTTACAACCAGCAAAAATTAATAGAAGGGATAGGAATATACGACCCTCCCACAAAACCATCTAATCCAAACTAATGTGCATTGATTGCGAGCTTAATTATACGGTTTGAAATGACGTGCAACTCAAAAACTTTGTCCAATAAAGATTCTTTCTAGGAAAAAATTAAGGATAGTGAGCAAAATTAAGGATAGTGGGAAAAATGAAGGATAGTGGAAAAATTTAAGGAAGGTTTTTTTAGTGGAGCAATTGAGCATTTGAATGCTGGATCTCCAGTGCTGCTCTACGCCAGTACTGGTCTACACCAGTGCTGCTCTACGCCAGTACTGCTCTACGCCAGTACCGCTCTACGTCAGTGCTGCTCTACGCCAGTACTGCTCTACGCCAGTACTGCTCTACGCCAGTGCTGCTCTACGCCAGTACTGCTCTACGCCAGTACTGCTCTACGCCAGTACTGCTCTACGCCAGTACTGCTCTACGCCAGTACTGCTCTACGCCAGTACTGCTCTACGCCAGTACTGCTCTACGCCAGTACTGCTCTACGCCAGTACTGCTCTACGCCAGTGCTGCTCTACGCCAGTGCTGCTCTACGCCAGTACTGCTCTACGCCAGTGCTACTCTACGCCAGTACTGCTCTACACCAGTACTGCTCTACGCAAATACTGCTCTACTACAGTGCTACTCTACGCCAGTGCTGCTCTACGCCAGTACTGCTCTACGAAAGTGCTACTCTACGCCAGTGCTACTCTACGCCAGTGCTGCTCTACGCCAGTGCTACTCTACGCAAGTACTGCTCTACTACAGTGCTACTCTACGCCAGTGCTGCTCTACGCCAGTACTGCTTTATGCCAGTGCTGCTCTACGCCAGTACTTCTCTATGCCAGTGCTGCTCTACGCCAGTACTGCTCTACGCCAGTACTGCTCTACGCCAGTAAGGCTCTACGCCAGTACTGCTCTACGGCAGTACTGCTCTACTACAGTGCTACTCTACGCCAGTGCTGCTCTACGCCAGTACTGCTTTATGCCAGTGCTGCTCTACGCCAGTACTGCTTTATGCCAGTGCTGCTCTACGCCAGTACTGTTCTACGCCAGTACTGCTTTATGCCAGTGCTGCTCTACGCCAGTACTGCTCTACGCCAGTACTGCTTTATGCCAGTAGTGTCAGATAGAAATAAAAAAATTTCCCATAATAGAGATGAATGCTCGAAACTAAAGTATGACACCACTGCTCTACGCCTCCATATTTCTACTTTCGAGAAACAGTTAATTTTTCTAGCTTACCATCAAAACTAGCTTTACCACTTGCATATTTTGAATCCAAAACAATATGGAAATACGATCAGTAAGAGACCAACCTTCAAAGATCGAATTACAAGACAATTTTTAAGAACTACCTTACAAATGGAATTCCTGTCAGATCAGCAATCTTTGATGACATTTTCTCAGCAAAACCAATTCTAGTATTAAGGCCGGTTCCAACTGCCGTTCCTCCAATAGCAAGCTGGTAAACTCTTGGCAATGCTCCTTCCACCCTCAAGATACCATACTCCAATTGTGTAACATACCCGGAGAACTCTTGTCCTAAAGTCAGTGGTGTGGCATCCTTTTACAAAGAAATAAATTGTAGTAGCAAAAAACACATCCCTTACTTTTCAACTTAGAACATGCAAGCTGTAAAGGCAACGGCTTATTTACCTAGTTCGTCTAATGCAGATTTTGCATCTCGGCTTGGAGGGGTTTTGCGGGTCACTGGGTGGGCGTGCCGCGGGCGGCGGTCCACTGGCTCGGCGTGCCGCGGGCCGGCGGTCCACCCAGTATTTACCTAGTTCGTCTAATGCAGATGCAAATAATATTTGCGCGTCCTTTTGCATCTGATGTATGTGTACTACCCTAACATTAACAGATTATGACTTTTACGAAAATACTGTACCCGGTCACATGAGTTGAAACTTGTAAGTTACACATTGACTGAATGACTCATTGACTGTTTGGTTGATTGACTGGTATGATGGTATGGTTGATTGACTGATTGATCGGATGATTGCAATTCAAACATGCAAACCTGTGTGTGTGTTCTTCCGATCTTTATGATACCCTGGAACTCTTCCGCTTTACTCTTTAATGCAGATTTCAAGTGCTTCAGTCCTGGTAGCAGAGTATTGTTGGTCACTTGAGCTGCAGCAATGTGCATTGCGGTAGGAAAAGTATCATTGGAACTCTAAGTATAAAAATATAACAGGTTAACAGATTAAAACATCCAGTCCGACGGGCAATTTGAATATATTTGCAAGGGCAATACAACCCAACTAACGATCAAATATTGACAAATCTGATTTCATTTCACTAGTGGATAATGAATTTAGAAAGAAACAAAATGGATGAAGCAATAAAATTTCTAGAAAAACAGTTTCTAGAATGATTTGGCACAGAAAAGACTGTTCAAAAGGCATTGTTATCGCTGACACTGAAATACTTTATGTAAGGAAGTTTGTAGAATGATCATATTTAGGATATTGGAGGTTATTGAAGAAAGCAAACTCACCTGGCTTTTGTTGACATGGTCATTTGGGTGCACTGGCGCTTTGCTGCCAAGCTCTCCACCCATCATTTCGATAGCACGGTTACTGACTACTTCATTGACATTCATGTTGCTCTGGGTTCCTGAACCCGTTTGCCAAATGACTAACGGGAAGTGCTCCCTGCCAATTTTACCACTGATTATCTATCGTTAAAGAAGTTTTTAAACTAAGAACATTATTTAAAGGAAAATGAAGGTTTTGGGAATAAGCGATTCTACTGACAAGTGTGAAATATTATCTTTAGGGAAAATATCATTGTGAGTCCGTGGACTGAAAATCATAATTTAACCCTTTCTTCTTCTTTTAAGGTTTCTTCAGAACAAACCCAAAATAAAAAGTAGCGATTTAGCTATATGATTAAAGTGACGCGATTGAATTAGCTTGAGCGAACCGCTGTAATTTGTTTTACTCTGGTGCAGAAGTTCCCAAGATTTACAAATCCTTAGATATACCGACCTCATCGCATGATTTACAAATCGTTTCTGCTATTTTCACATCTAGTCCATATTCAATATTGACTTCAGCCGCAGCTCTTTTCAGGAAACCAAATGCCCTGATCACATCCATCTACAATGAGAATAAATGTAGCATCACTGTAAACCCTAGACACAGAATAGACGCAAGATATGGCTGTCCACCGCATTCTATGAATCTTGCGATGAAAAATTTGATGATTAGCAATACAGAGGAACAACGCAAAACAGCTTGGAAAACGCCGATATTAATCTTAAAAAAACAAGAATTAAAAAATCATTTCATTGAAGTTAGCTAAAATTTTGCCATGAAAGATGGACAGACCTTCGTCAGAGGACTGGCAAAAATACAACAGACTGGTTTGAAGGTATTGCAGGGAAGAGAAGACGATAACGGTAGTGGGAGAAGAAGAGGATTGTGACTGATGTGAGAGAGAGAGTAATCGGTGGTGCTGGAATGAAACTGCTTTAAATGTGGAAAAACTATGGGCACATGGTCTCAGCGAAAATAATGTAGCGGATGTATGGATCTAATGGTGATAGATGGTACTGATGACAAAGACGCTAAGAAAAAATGATAATAGAAAAATAATGATAAGTTGTAATTTCATTTTGAAAAATATAACACTTACAAACCTCACTATTACAAGGTAGTTTGTATGTGGCACACTTACATTGAAAAAGAGCTATTACAAGTGCAAAGTAAAAAGGGTTGTACACAGCATTAAAAATATAAACATGATGATTCGATCATGTTTCAAGTGCTTTAGAGACCGTCGATAGGTAACTTGGCACTGAAGGAATTTGCAAGATGGAAGCTGAAAGTTAAGACCAAAGCTGCTTCTAGGGAGAATCATTCCACCGATTGTAGAAATTATTGGAAGTTCAAGCCATTGCCTGATATATTTTGTAACAAGGTTGTCAAGGTTTTCCACAACAAATGTTTTGGCAAGTCAGATATATTCAGATGCCATGATAATTTGGAATAATAATAATAATAAAGGAAACATTTCATCTTCAATTCAACGTAAACTACAATTACAAATCTCACTATTACAAGGTAATTTGCAATTGGCTAGCCTGGTTTTACAAAAAAAACTATAACATTCGTAAGGTAAAAGGAAAAACTGAGAAAAAAATAAAACAACTAAAGTTAAAAAAGGTGGTAATTCCGAATTTGTCCATGGCCTATTTTTGCAACAAAAAATGAAGTACGTAGTACGGATGGCAATGTTGGAAAGTTTAGAAATACGATACCGTTAATAATAATGGAAACTTTTCATTTTGAATTCCAGTTAAAACTACAGTTACAAATCTCACTATTACAAGGTAATTTGTAACTGGCTAGCCTGTGTTTACAAAATAAAAACTATTACATCGTAGTAATGAGAAAAAAAAATGTTAAAAGGGGTGTAGCTCTGGATTAGTCCAAGTTTTGTTTCTACAGCAGAATATATAGTATGTGGTGCGAATGGAGATGCTTGTAAGTTTGTAGATGAGGTAGCGTTTCTGTTGATAATCAATGGACAAAGAGTCACACATGTCGATGAATGAGCTGCAGGAGTTGCCAAAAATACCAAGTGAACTGATGGAAAGATTGACAAACGAGACTGACTTAAACTGACGTTTTAAGTCAGATACGAGGGTGGCATATTTTCCTGACTTTCTGACAGCATTGCAGTTGAGATTTTTTTGAAAGCCTATGGTTAGCTCTAAAACGTACAGACAGTTTTCCTTAGTTTTGAGAAGTAAGTCAGGGCGTAGTTGATCTCCAGTTATGATAGAAGGGGAAAGAAAGCCTGGTAAATCTGCGTAGAGAGAAGACCCATTTATTGCTTCATTAAAGACGCATTATTATGGAAACATTTCATTTTCAATTCAACTTAAACTACAATTACAAATCTCACTATTACAAGGTAATTTGCAATTGGCTAGCCTGGTTTTACAAGAAAAAACTATAACAATCGTAAGGTAAAAGGAAAAACTGAGAAAAATAAAACAACCAAAATTAAAACGGATGTAATTCCGGATTTGTCCATGGTTTATTTTTAATATAATAATGGTTTATATAATAATAATAATAATAATAATAATAATAATAATAATAATAATAATAATAATAATGGAAACTTTTCATTTCAATTCAATTAAAACTACAAAGACAAATTTCACTATTACAAAGGTAATTTACAATTGGCTAGCCTGGGTTTACAAAGAAAAAGACTATTACAAGCACAAACAAAAGAAAATAACAAAAAAAAGGAAAAAGTGTGTTCGTCATTGTTTGTTTAAGAAGTCGTCAGTAGCAGAGATCGTTAGAATTGAAAGGCTCAGGATTATTCCAAGATTCATTGCAGAAAATGTAATAGGTAGTATGGTTAGTTAAGTTGGATAGTTTGGAGATCATGAAGCGGAGATGATTCTCGCTGATATCTAGAGCAATGCACATGTCAATGAAAGAGGAGCAGGAGAGACCAAAGATACCTAGGGAACTGATAGAAAGATTAACAAACATGATAGAAGAATAGGCTGAGCTTAGGCTGTGAATGAGATTCGAGTATTTCTCTCTTTTGCGGTTATCATTAACATCCAAGTTAGTTTCGTATCCTACTGTAAGCTCGAGTATGAATAGCCGATGGTCAGAAGTGACTAGAAGTAGATCAGGACAGAAGTAATAATTATAATAATAATAATAATAATAATAATAATAAGAAATGAGATAATAATAATAATAATAATAATGATAATAATAATAATGAAAACATTTTTATCTTATATTCTTCTACTTACAACAGTAACCTCACTTTACAGGTAGTTACTAACGGCTAGCCTGGTGACAAGTTTACTAATTTTACAAAAGTTATAACATTTAAATAAAATCATATGAGTGCAAAGAATCTTTAGAAGGAGAGCAGTTCATGGTTTGTCCAAGTCTTATTGCGCATACAGAATATATAATAGGATGTGCGTATAATTATTGCTGACAGTTTTTTAATTATAAAATTACGGTGTTGGTAGTCAAGTTTTAGTTAGTCACACATATTGATGAAAGAATCACAGGAGTTACCAAAGATACCAAGACAGCTGATGGATAGATTAACAAAGTTTACTTTTTTGAACTTAGGGCGAAGTTCCTTTAGAAGGGAACGGTACTTCTTAGCTTTACGCGAAACGTTATTATCCAGGTTAGTCTCGAACCAAACAGTTAATTTGATGACATACAGACAGTTGGAAGCAGTTTTGATAAGCATGTCGGGACGGAACAAATCACCAGTTATGATACATGGTGATAAATAAGCGGGAATATATCTCGGATACAATGAAAATGATGATGCAATGAAGTGCAGGGCAGAGTCGTGCCTCCAAGTAAAACGCCCATGCTCAAGGTATTTGTTAATAATAATAATAATAATAATAAAAATAGTCATTGCTAGGAGGGTGCAGAGGATGATGATGATGAGCTGTTGATATCTTGATGAGTGATGATTATGTGCAGCTAACGGTTGTTGGTTCTGTTCATGTGGCTGGTTCTGTTCATGTGGCTGGTTCTGTTCATGTGGCTGGGGCAAGGTTGTTCGTTAAACCAATGAAGTATTGCTCTCTAGATTGAACACTTTCATTTGCTGTTCAGTTGAAGTAGCCCTGGTGGTAGTATCAGGTGGCTGACCATTGCAGTCAAGTGTGCTGCCACGCCAGATTTACCTTAATTTTAGTTGACAATGTCTGGCCAGTGCTTGTAAAAGCTGTCTTTAAGTCATCTGCTTATTTGTCTGATGTACTGTGAGTTCTAGTTTCTGATACTCAAACATGCATTTACGTAAACAGCATAAATGATGTTAGCAGAGTTGCAGTTCATTCATTGCTTTCATCAAAGTTTTTGCCAGTTATAGGAAAACTAAAAGTAGTTGTCCCATCTGTAACATGTTGGCATGTTATGCAGTTACATCATGCATGGCATTTGCAAGCAATTCTGGGATCGATGATTGTGTCACTATCTTAGCACAGGCCAGTAAATAATGGAAAGTCTTTCAACCTTGTTCCGTGCCTTGGAGCAAGTTTTTGATAGAATCAATACCACCATTTTTGCCATGTATTCAAAAACAGGGATTCATCATTAGTAAACCTTGAATTAGAATGCCTTACAAACATGCTTAATCTTGTCTTCTCTAAACTTTGTTTGCATTTTATCATTCAAAAGTTTAGCAAATTATCAAACATGGAATCTTCCTGGCAAGCTGTTAGTGATTTATGTTATAGAAAATTATACATTTGAAATGAACTTACTGGCATTTTTTCATTTTCATCTCCAATTGGAAAGTTTTCCATTGATCTGGCAGTCTGAGCACCATAGTACCGATCGGAAGGGACTTGCATTTCTCCCATTGTGTCGGTCTCCACACGTATAGTTGCCTGAATATTTAGAAGATAGCGAAAATCATCTTAGAATGGGATTTAGAAATTTTACAGTATGCAGAGCATGGCAATGTCACACCCAAGATGCAGAAATGGTATTGTTCAGAGTACACCTTAAAACTAGCTTATTCAATTTGAATCAGGAAAAGTTTATAGTTCTGGCACAGCTATCATTCTTGGAAAATTTTTGCACACCAGCACTTGAGGTGCAGGGCTGTTGGGGCACCAAATGTCTTGTTAAAAACGGCCATACTCTGCAAACTGGCAGACTTGGACTCAGGACTGCAGAGTAAGTCAGTCTCCAACAAGCTCTCTGGTGTGTAAGAGAAAAATTTTCAAGTGTGCACTTTGGCATGAGTTTGTACTTCAATTGTGTATAAAGTCTCCACAACTATGCTAGAGCAAAAAGACATCAACAAGAAAATCAACATGACTCATAGTTATTTTGTACCTATTGAATTCTTTATTTGCCTTAAGCAATACACACTTTTTTTATAAGAATAAAGTCTATAAGAATACTGTTGGGCAAGAATCAATCTTAGGCTCAAAATCAAAAATTTTAAAGAATATTGAGGCTCTGCAAAAAAAAGGTATTCTTATAAAAAGTGTGTAGGTCACACCCATGTCAAGTCCATATCTCAAGATGCCACATCCTTTACCAGGTGTGCAGGAGCATTTTCGAGCAAAATATCTCCTGTACATTTGCTATACTCTGCAGTTGGGCATGGACTTAGGAGCTACACAAGGTTGTGAAACTTTTGCGCTACATTTCTGGACCAAAACAGAAATACTGCAAAACTCAGCAACCGTAATCTTCAATTTACTTAATTAGCAATGCTTAGCTCGATAGCCCTTTTTGGAGTTTTTTCTAAGGGTCCTAAACAATGAGTAAAAATAATGTATGAAGTTGTTGTATTACTGTTTTTTGCATTAGCAATTATTTCTTTAGTTAAGATTTATAATTGTAATGTAATCTTTTCACATATTTGTATTAAAACTTCAACTTGTATTTCTTGTTGTCTGAAATAAAAAATAATTTGAATTTGAATTCACGCCCCCTTAAATTCATCTCCTCACTTTGAGCTGTGTTTGAAATTGTAATTTTTTAAAGATGAAAAAACTGCTATGGTCATTTTTCAAATTGTGGCGTGTCTTTTTTACGTGAGAAGATCTGAAAGATCGCAAATATAATTAATAATATCAACTCCAAACTAATAATGCGACTTAAATTTGGTGAGACAGGAACCCTACCCATTTTAACACAAATTCATAACCAACAACAATACAAGATTCAAAAGACAATCTAAGAAACAAGTAGCTATTTTACCATCGTTCGTGTTAGTAAAAGATGGAGTGGTTTTCTGGTCGACTGCACATATGAAAAGAATCGACAACCACGCTTTGTGAACAAACTGGCTGCCATGTTGACTGTGATGTGATCACACGTAAGCTCCTCCGCAGCAGGTCCAGGTCCTACCCACTGATCTAAAAAAAGTCTTTTTTTAGAGCCATGACGGGGAAGGGCTAGTCCTTCCCCCCAATTTTTCAGAAAGTTGGTCCTTGGGATTCTTAAAAATTCGATGAGAAGACTTCTGTAGTAGGACGCTCCCCAGATCACATGACTTTTTATAATCACGTGACAAGTACTATTTAATCCGAAGCTTTGTAAAGCGTAGTTCAGTTATCTTCGTAACCTCATTCAGTTAAGTTATAAATCTTATGAATCAAGATATGAAAATGTAAAGAATGTGTTTCCTTGCTCTACCATCTCAATAATATAAATAGAAGCACCTCTCACACTTCGGGGGGGGGGGGAGATGTTGTATGTCAGAAGCTGATTTTCGTGTGAAGCCATTCGGATATACTGACATTGACTGTTAGGAATGCTATCAATAATCATAAATTGGATCTTACAATCATGGATAGTAAAACTTATTTGTTCTCTCCACTTAGGATGTGAACCAATCTGTACGCCAATATACTTATTTGACCTGATCGTTTCTAGGTCGCCTTTTTATATGGAGATTGATCTGACGATCTTCATTGTCAATCTTTAAACATGAGCATGTCTGCAAAAATTTTTAAAACAGCTGTTCTTCCGAATCAATAAAAATAACAAACAATTAACATTTATCGATCTTATCGTCTACAAAACGGGTTTAAAGCGGCTGGAATTTATGACGCCAAAAAACTTTAACTTCAGTCAGAAAACCTATTTGAAGATTCAAATCCAACCATCCATCCATCAATTTCTTTGAAGTTGATGTATATATATATATATATATTCAGTAGCTCCTAACTCTAAGGTTTTTTAAAAATATAAATAGATACTCAATAAAAAAACAACTTAGTTGACGTTTCACTGTAAGCTTCTTCAGAAACATTTACAAAATCAATACAATAGAGTTAATGTTGTTGTTGTAGTTGTCCTTCAGGTCGTTCGACCCCTGGTGATGTTATGAACCTGACGTCTCCATTCAGCTCTATTTTTACTGTCTTTGTTGAGCTGATAAACATTTCTTGTTGTCATCGTCTTAATGTTGTCAAACCACTTTTTGCAGGTCTTCATCTACCTCTTTTCCTTTCAATTTTTCCTTGCATTATCAGTTTTTGTAAACTGTTGTCTGCTCTATTTATGTGGCCATAATAGGTTAATTACTTGAGACTGGCATTTTCATAACATTTTCTTGGCAGGATACTGTAGTAGTTTGCTGTTGCTTTCTACAGATTGCAGTTCTCAACTAACTAAAGTTTGATTGCCGCCATTCATCTGGTTGTACCATATTTCTGCCAGCAGTCATAGTGCACGATACTTTATCATTTATTTAGCAAGACCAAATCTCTGCTAAAGCATCTCCACCCTGCTCTGTCGGTGGCGCACGGATGTAGTTTAACTTCATACCCCAGGAACGATATTTGACCTATATCTGGAACCCTTGCAGGCGCTACCACCCCGGGTCAGGTTGGACCTGAGAGAAGTGGTAATTAAGAGGTAACTCCATTATCCCCAGAACTCTGGTTCTCCCGAACCATAGCCTTAAAACCGGATGTAGTTTAAAGTCATTACCCAGGACTACAATAGAGTTTATACAATAGGGTTAATACAATAGAATAAGTGCAATAGAGTTAATACAATTGGGTTGGTACAATAAAGTCAATACAATGAGGAGGCTAGAGGAGATTGCTTTTTATAGTAGTTATTGTTAAAAGTGTAACTCAATGGGAGAATTAGAAGAAAGCACAGGAGAAGGTGCTGCTAAAGTCGGCGGCAGTGCAAGTCTCACGGGGGCTGCAAATGATATATGTGACAAAAAGGAACACCGGTTAGTGGTAGTGGAAGAGCTAGTGGAAGAGGAAAAATCCAAAATAGACAAAAAATCATATAATGCAAAGAAAAAAAAGAAAACCTAAGATCTATGTATCAACATGCCCAGTGTTTAAACCCTTAGGAGTAAAACCGTCTAACTTATATTGCCAAAAGCTTTCCCGCATCCTACTATTCCTCCCAGAAAGCCTATCAATTATCCTGCAGAAACCCCCGGTGGCCTTCTCTAGAAAATTGCCTAAAAAATTCCGCCTGAAGTACTGAGGATCCCTGACTGAACTTACAATTACAGGCCTTATAGTTTTTTAACCTTAATCTAAAGGGCGTGTTAGTGCTACCAACATACTGCACACCACAAACATTGCACTCTAACGGATACACCACATTAGACGATTCACAGTTATACGAGTAATTTATCTTATATTCCTAACCAGTTACCTTAGATTTAAAACTAGTTTTCTTACATCTTCTAAAAGCAATTATAGGTGGGCCCAGGAAACACCTTCTATGCTCCTCCGAATGGCTGAGCATAGATTGGAGTTTCCCTGCCACTTTCCCCAATCCATTGAGTGCTGGATGGTATATTAGTACAAAAAAGAACCCTTTCCCCCATTTCATCAACTAGAGACTCTTCATATCCCCTGTCCTCAAGCCATCCAGTTACTTCGCCTATAGCCTGCGTCACAGACCAAAAACCTCCGTGAAGTGACGCAGTCCCAACTTTTGTCACTAATCTTGTTGCACTATAAAGAACAGCGAGAGAAGTCAATGAAAGCTGCCATTGACCTTCCAACCAGGAAAAGATCCAAAATTACGGTAGAGCAAATGGAACACTGTCATCAACAACTGCAGATTCCGTTGATGAACAGATACAGAATTATCTCTGGTTAAAAGTGCATCAAAGTCAGAAACACTATCCTTGTATGCGATGCTCAGTGCCTTTTTGTGAATGTGGTTGATCTTGTTATTAAGTTGTCTGTCGCAAACATCCACACCAAGGGGGCAGTAGCTGAGCTGAACTGGGGTACGATAAAAGCCAGAATGTTATGCTTGAGTTTTTCAGTGCCAAGTAAGTAGGAGATAGGCGATAGAGCGTGGAGCTTTTGACCTGCTGTCTTGCATAACGATTGTATGTGTGTCTTAAAAGAAAGCTGTTTGTCCAAAGTTACTCCTAGTAACTTTTCTTCTGTGCTTTCTGTTGTGGTTTTATTTCCAACTTTTATCGGCAAATCATTGCTTTTTCCACCAAAAGTCATCAAGTGGCACTTGGGAACATTCAACTTCTTGTAGCAATTATTAAGCTAGTCTGAAAGGATTACGGTTTCGTTTTCTAATCTATTGATTACATTTTCAGGATTGCTATCGCAGACATAGATAGTGCTATCGTCAGCATAATTGCATATTTTGCTGTCCGTCACAAACATAACCAGGTCATTCAGGTAGATATTAAACATAAGAAGCCCCAGAACAGATCCCTGTGGTGTGCCAAGAGTAGTCTATCTCCACGTGCTGAAAGATCAATTCACCGTTACCCTCTGCTTTCGCCTGTTCAGATAGCTGTGGATAAGCTGCAATCCTCTGTTAAAACCATATGCTTCTTATTTTGCTATCAATAAGTCATGATTCAAGCAGTTAAAGGATTTGGGAGGGTCCATAAACACGGCCCCAGCAGTGTTTCCACTGTCCAATGCCTTACTGCAGATTTCTATGAATCGAAGACGAGCATGCTGTGCGCAGTAATTCTCTCGAAAACCGCACAGCAGTGAATTGAGAAAGCAGCGAGCGAAGGCTTTCACTTGAGGCTCCATCATTCTCGATGTAGCAGGCAAGACTGTAATTGGTCTGTCATGTTTCTTTACTAAATTATCGTCCTTTTTGTGAAGTGATGAGATATCTACTGCTTTCAACGTTTCTGGAAAGTCACTTTGCGAGAAATTTGCGTTGAAGAACTGGTGCAAAAATACCAGAATTTTTTGATGACCTTCGCAGGTATGCTTCCTACAGAAGAAGATTTCCTAGGGTTTAATTTTCCAAGTTGACAAAAAACTTCTTCAACAGTAACTTGCCTAAATTGAAACGACTCTGAGCATGTAAAACACTCTTTAATTTTCTTAATGCTTAGATGGTTTTTACATTTTTTAATAGCTTGATCTATAGGGTCTTCTATTATTATTGTAGGTGATATATTTTTGCCGGTGTCAGTAGTTTCTAGATCTTGCGTGATATTAGCAAAGAAATCGTTAAATATTTCAGCAATTTTGAGATCGTCAGTAATCATTTCTTAAGTGTGATGCATTGAGACAATTGTACCTTATCTGTGAAAACTGGTTCAACAGTTCTTCAAAACTTACGATTATCTATCTGTAAGATTTTTTAGGTCCAAGTTTTTGTAATGGCTGAATTTGGCTATGCGCAACATTTTCACACATTTGTTCCTTTGCCGTCTGTAAGCATTAAGATTTTCATCGCTTTGTTATATTTGTTCAAAAACTTAGTACGATGCATCATTTCTTTTCGCAGCTCTCTTCTCACGAAAGGCCCATCATTTGAGCGAAAGTACTTTTTCTTGATAGGAGCGTGTTGACGTAGCACATCTGTAACCATACCGTCAAATGCTCTAAAACCTCCATGATCCGACGAATTAGACTGAATATGATTTGAATGTGAAAGCAAATATAAGCCAACATGTTCTTTTAAACAAGTGACAAAGAAATATGAATGTTAACAAGAAAATTGGTGATTTTTCTTCTCTCTTCTATGTATTTTAGAGACTTTGATGTCGTGAGGGAACCTTCTCGATGACCTCGAGAAGGTTCTTAGTTTAGTTTAAATAAACGTTTTCTTTATAAGAAACTAACAATTTGATCCTGTTCCGTACGGCATTCTTGCAATTCTTCAAGAATTCGTAACAGTCTTAAAATATGTGAGTATCAATAACCTGAAGTAGTTTTGCTTTAAGCATCCAAAAGACTGGCCAGACTTAGTCCGAAAATCTATTTGTCCGAAATGCAAAAAGTATGTCCGAAAATATTTTTGTTGAAGTTTATTGACCAAATATTTATCCGCTGAAAATGTTTGTACATTACAATGATTGACTACCTAATTGAAAACCATATCAATTTCACTATTTTCATCAACTTGTTCTCGAGACGATATTTCT